TAAGTCAAATTTCAATTGTATGTGCCGACATGAAAAACAAATGTGTCGGCCTAAGTATGGCAGTAGTGCTTTACTTTAAAACTTTAAAAACTGCAGCATATGTGCCAGCCTGAAATTCGTATGTGCCAACACATAAAATAAGAAATTCTGCAATTTCAGAAACCTTCAGTATGTGTCGGCCTAAACCCTCCAGAGGCTACATTCTTCAAAACTGAGTTGCATGTGCTGACCTGAAACACGTATGTGTCGGCACATGCAAGAAAAAATTATGAAAAAACTTGTTTTTCAAGACTTTGGTCAATTTCAAAATGGTTTTTAATGGTTTCTTAGACCCCTAATGCAAAGGAGTACCACAAGACATATAGATATCATCCGATATACATAAATGCTAAGTTTTCCTAGTTTTGACATCATGCAAAATATCTAATGATAAATTTGTACTCACATAAACTTGCTATAACTCTGGAGAGCAGGGCACACCAATATTAATTGTCAGAAGCCAAAGAAGGTCCAGTCTGTAGGAAAGGTATTTGCTTTGTCTGGTTCAAAGACTACCAATGAAGACAAATTTATTTGAGGTACATGTTTTATTAATAGTAAACTATTGATTGTTATTATTGACACAGGTGTGACACATTCGTTTATTTCTGAGGATTGCGATAAGAAATTGAACCTCAAATTGACTTCTATGAATGGGAGTATGATCGTTGATACTCCAGCTCTAGGTCGGGTAATGACATCGTGGGTTTGCTAGAATTATTCGCTGACTATATTTGATAAGAATTCTGGGATGAATCTAGTTTGTCTACCATTGAGAAAAATTGATGTTATCCTTGGTATGAACTGATTGGTGTTCAAAAAACTAAATATTAACTATTTCGACAAGATATTGTCATTTCCAGTGTTCGTGGAGGAGAATGATCTGTTTTGAAGGGTGAGAAAACACTTAGAAGGGGGGTTGAATAAGTTTTTCCTTTTTCTTTTTCTTACTAGCTCAACAATAATGGAAAGACACAATTATTTTTATCCTGGTTCGTTTGAACTCAAACTACTCCAGTCCACCCGCCAAGGTGATTTCGCCTTTCTCAACAAGGACTTAATTCACTATAATCAAACAGATTACAATCACACAACCAAACTGTTGTGACTAACAATACAAAGCACAAGTAAACTTACAAGTGACTAACACCACTAAGACCCAAACTAGTCCTTAGCCTTCTTGAGAAATCTGACCAAACTTGATCTCTCAAGGAACAAATACAAGAGTTAAATCTTTACAATAGTGAAACAAATTGCTTCTTAGAAAGCTATATCACAAACTGTGATTTATCACTAAGATAAGTTTTGCACAAAGTGTTTGTAAGAAAATAATTTGTGAGCAGTAGAATATTTTTCACGTTGTTAGGTAGTTGGCTTGCAATAAATGATCTTCTATTTATAGCATGAAGAAAACGATTGTTGCTGCCTTCAAAGGTGAGGAGCAATTAATGTTTGCGTGTTTGATTGCAGTATTGCTTTTTCTAATGAACTAGCGTATAGACACTTGAGTGCTTTTAGCCGTCTTTGCATTAAATGAACAAACGGCACTGTCAGAGCATGTTTCCTGAAACTTGATAAGACTTGTTTGCTTCTTTATTCTTTCAGAACTAACTTCACATCTTGCTTCATAATGTGCTTGCAAATAACTTCTCATCAGAGCTTGCTTGCAAAATACTTCTGAACAGAGTTTGCATGGAAACTTGCTAAGATTAGAAGATGCTTTAAATTGCTTCTTATCAGAGTCAGCATCAGAACTTGCGCTAAATAAGTGGTTCTTTCATCAAAGAACTTCTTCATTTTTATTCAGCTCAACACGTAAAATAATTTTCACCTTAGAAAATACTCCAGTCAGAACATTATCTGAAATGAAGAAATATGCTCATCAGAGTATCAATTATACAAAATATATTTTATTGTTATCATCAAAACTCTGAGATATGGTCAGAACCAATCTTGTTCTAACATGTTTGTGTCTGCTAAGAAAGTAAATGAGTATGTGAAAGATGGTGTGATTGTGTTTATGGTGTTAGCTTCATTGGATGCCAAAGAAAAAGGAGTGATTAGTGATTTACTTGTTGTTTGTGATTATCCATAATTGTTTCCTGAAGGCATCAGTGATTTGCTGCAAGAGCACGAGGTGAAGTTTATGATAGACTTAGTACCTTGTATTAGTCTTATTTACATGGCCATGTATCTGATGTCTATTGCAAAGTGGATGAATTTAAGAAGCACCTAGAAGAATTTCTCAAAAAGAAGTTCATTCAACCTAATATTTCACTGTAGGGTGCATTAGTGTTTTTAGTGAAGAAGAAAGATGGTAGTATGCATTTATGTATTGACTATCGACAGTTGAATAAAGCCACTATCAAGAACAAGTATTTACTTATGAGGATTAATGATTTGATGGATCAATTAACGGGTGCTTGTGTCTTCAGCAAGATTGATTTGTGGTCGGGATATCACCAGATTCGTATGAAAGTCAGAGATGTTTCAAAGACTACATTCAGGGAGAGGTACAATCATTACGAGTACTCGTTGATGTCGTTTGGTGTGTCTAATGCCCATGGTGTGTTCATGGAATATATGAACTAGTTTTTTCATCCGTATTTGGATAAGTTTGTGGTGGTGTTTATCGATGATATTCTGATTTATTCGAAGATAAATGAGGAACATGCTGAACATCTAAAGGTTGTGTTGGAACTGTTGAAAGAGAAGCAATTGTATGCTAAGTTGTCAAAGTACAAGTTTTGGTTAAGTGAGGTGAGCGTTCTCGGCCATGTGATTTCTAGTGGATGTATTGTTGTTGATCCTTCGAAGGTTGAGGATATGTTGTAGTGGAAGACTCCAAAGTCTATAGCTGAGATCATAATTTTTCTTGGGCTAGTTGATTATTATCGTAGATTCATTAAGGACTTTTACAAGTTGGAATTGTCATTAACTCAACTAACTAGGAAGGTTCAAACTTATGTTTGAGATGTGAAGTGTGAAGAAAGTTTTCAAGAGCTTAAGAGGAGGTTGATGTCTGCTTCAGTGCTGATTTTGCCGAGTTCGACTGAATCTTTTTTTGTGTATTGTGATGCTTATAAAATGGGTTTAGAAGGTGTGTTTATGCAAAATGGACATGTTGTGGCTTATGCTTTGAGGCAACTTAAAGTTCATAAGAAGAATTGTCCTATGTATGATTTAGAGTTAGTTGCGGTTGTGTTCGCGCTTAATATTTGGAGGCATTATTTGTTTGGTTCCAGATTCAAAGTGTTAAGTGATCATAAGAGCTTGAAGTATTTGTTCGATTAGAATGATTTGAATATGAGACAGAGGATATGGCTCGATTTGTTGAAAGATTGTGATTTTGGTTTAAATTACCATCATGGTAAAGTCAATGTCGTTGCTAATACATTGAGTCAGAAGATGTTGCATATGTTGACATTAATTGCTAGAGAGTTGGAGTTAATTGAAGAGTTTTGAGTTTGGTTTGTGAAGTCAGGACGTAGAGTGTGAAGCTGAGAATGTTGGGAGCTTGTGTGCTAGAATAAGGAGGTGCTTAAGATAAATTTTTGCTATTGATTGAATTTACCTACAACAACAGTTTCAATTCGAGTATTGAAATGGCACCGTTTGATGCATTATATGGTAGAAAGTGTAAGACGCCTTTATGTTGGTATGAGTCGGAAGAAGGTGTTGTGATTGGACCTAAGACCATCCATCAGACCACAAAGAAAATTAAAGTGATTCATGTTGCACCCCAAAATTCTCCCTCTTATGTTTTATATGGCTTATGTTGGGCTTTTGCATAATCATGCATTCATTCAATAAAGTATATTGGTTCAAAAGGATCGGTGATCATGCGAGTTAGGGTTTCACATTGTTTTGAGGTGTACATATCTAATGAGCCTGATTCTTTTGATTCTTATGGTTATTATTCAAGCAGTGAAGTGTAGAATTAAGGTTTATATGGTTGTGAGGATTTTCTCTTCAATCAAGGGTTATTAAATGTATTCCTTCATTAATCTTAGTCTGAGGAATTAGGGTTGACATTGTGATCATCATGGACTTCTTCTCAAGGCCTTCGAAGGATATTCTCCCTTAGGATACACTAAGATCAAGGCATTAGGCTTTTCACCTGTTGTGCTTAGGGTTTCACTGGGATACTGCAATTGAGGCTCAGTGGATTAGGGTTTTACTGTGGTATTCTATACTTCAAGTCTTAAATTCCTCAAAGGGGTTCATCGAATATTCAAGATTATTGAAAGTTGTTCATTGAGTTTTGAAGTGGATTTGAGTTCAGAGACAACCAAAGTGAATTAAAGATCTTAAGCATTAGTTTTGTTCAAGAGTTTGATTCAAGATTGAAAGATTTACGTGTGGGATTTCATAGATTCAGGATTCATTCATTTATGATTCCAATGGTTCTAAATAATGATATTCATCATTCAAGTGTTGAATCAAAGTTATTCAAGTGTCATTCAAGCTTAGTGTTCAAGTTTCGTCGTCGATTACCACATAATTTCATTCATATTCAGAGTTCAATCATTCAACTTTATTTGCAAAGCCTATACAAGTTGCATTTGTCAAGGTTTTCACACAAAGCTTGAAATTCATTCAAAGGCATTCAAGTTCTAATTGAAGTCTCTTTTTAAGAACTTCAAAATTAAAAAACATTGAAAGAGATTCGAAATCAAATTTTCAAATGCATAAAAAAAGTGGAGTGAATGGTTCCATTATTTGAAACCAAGTTACAAAGGTCAATATTCAAGTTCATTGCAAATACTTTGCCAATTACAACCACAAAAGCCATGATACATCACATTGAGAAGAAAACTACAAAAATAATCCTTCTTGACTTAGGTTTCAACTAAGGCTTGTTCCCCCTAAATTTCAGCTCCATCATGCCATTGTTACATGGACTCCAAGCGCACTATTGTGTCTCTTCAAACTTTGCTTCGTCGTGCTACAAAACCTTGTTAAAAGGATGCCAAACCACTCGCTTTGCAAGTTGAACAAATATCTGACCTAATTAACCGGCACCAAGCATCACCATTTGTCGCCCAAACTTTCCCTGCAAAAACCAATCTGCATAACCATAAAAAACCAGTTCAATTCAGCCCTGCGCATATAAATCATGATAAACAAAACCGGTTCAGAACTTGCATCTACCTGTGAACCGAGTTAACAAGACAAATTACCCAACTCACTTTAATAAACCATGCCCTGCATCTAGAAGAAGAAAGTTCAGAAGGAAATATATTAGGAAAATATTGAATGTCCAGCTCAGCATTTAAAGAGGAAAGGGTGCAAGCTATGAAACGAGAAAATCATAACAGAAATTTCTAGGAAACTAACATTCGAATCTCTCATCTCATCCATTCATCTTTGTAACTAACTTTCATAATTCAAAGGCTTAGATTCATTCACTTGTAACAAACTTCCCAAGCCTCTAACTGAAAATAAAACTGAAAAACTCACTTGAATCAAATCATTCCTTCAATCACTGAAAGAAACACAGAGAAAAAGCAAAAAAAATCTCTCTCGAAAATCTTCTTTGCAGCCTCTCTCATCTTCATCGCACATACTCCATGTTCTCTCTTCATCTACCACAATGATTATGTAGAGGTTACCAATTCACGATCATTTTCACCATTCTGCAATTACACCATGCACTTTCTGAACCGCAACTTCATCTTCATCAATGCCAAACAACCTTCAACAACAACCGCGAATATCTTCGATTCTTCAATCTTCATCACAACAAGAACAAACAACAACATCGCAGAAATTCATGCATGAAGATGAGATCAGAACAGAACAAGAGGAGATGAAGAAGTGGTGACAGCCGAACTGAGATGGAGACGAACGTAGTCGGCGGTGGAAGAAGAGATGAAGAATGGAAAAGGTGAATCTGCGCCGCTGTGAGAAGGTTGAAGAGGAAAGTCAGTTCGAGAATTCCAATCGTCACAAAACTTTAAAACCCTATGATATCTAAAACGCACCGTTCCAATCTCTTTGCCCCTTTTGCATTAATTATTTTGTTGTTAATTGTTAGTCTTTGTTTACCTTTGTTTATACAAAAAAAAAAATATGATGTGTTTAGATATTGGACTGGATCAATCACATTCCCCTGGGCTCATGATTTTTTTTGAAGCCTGAGAATGCACAAACAAAAAGACCACCATGGATCATTTCTGCAAGGCCTTTGGTTTTTTCTGAACATCATGACACACGGTTTTAGTTATACCCCTCCGTTTAGGATTGAATTAATTGTTTCCTATTACTTTTTGTTGGCATTAATTTTGATAAATTCTTTGGTGATAAAATGGCACTTGAAAAAAAAGTAGGAAATGCTTTGGATTTTTGGAAATTAGTTAGATTTCTTTAATAATCAGTTATTGTGCTAATTTTTGGATCCTAGCTTGAGATATCTTGATACCACTTATGTATGATAGTAGTTCTCGATCCATGATATGTGTTGGCACGATTGCGGGATGACTTTGTTTAAGAGTTTCAAGATGTTTCGAAACTAGAAAAGATCATAAATTTCATCAAGGAAATTCAAGGAGGCTCTCGTTAGAGTTTTCTCATAGCTTGCATGGTTTCGAAGAGGCAAAGGACCTTCTCCATTAGGTACCTCTTGGATATCTCTTTCATGCATCTGCATCTGAAGTCCTGGAGGTATCCAGGCGTTGGCGTTAGACACAAAGGTGTTTGGCAGGTTTGTAAGTCATCTTTTTATTATTTACATTCTTGTTCTTGCCTTTGTATGCTCCCTATAGGATTTTATTGTTTTCCCTTTCTTATTGTTGAATCGATGAGTCACTCAATTAGAATTGAGATCACAACTTAGCTCTCATTACATGTTCCCTATATGATGTTATTGCTTTTCCTTTTCTTATTGTTGAATCGATGAGTGACTCAATTAGAATTGAGATCACAACTTTGCTATCATTGTATGTTCCCTTAGGATTTTTATCTTTGCCCTTAGGTCTATCTTTATATGCTAACACTAGGTAGATTTTCCCCTTTGTAATTCAAACTTTAGGACCACCATTGTATGATGACATTAGGAATATAATCTCCTTTAAATTTTTCATTCCCTTTTTGCATGCATTAAGATAAAAAAAAATTTTCTTAATCAAACGTTAAAAACACTTAACAATAAAGAGGCGAACCATGTGTCACGAGCCTTAAGTATTGGGAGAAGTATGAGGCGATACATTCTTAACATTGTGCTTTGTTGTACCCCAAAATTTGCCCTCTCATTTTCTCAAGATTTCTCTCGTATGTGAGATTACAAAAACATGTTTAAAGAAATAAAGAAAATGTAAAATTTTGAAGATGTTAATGTGTCTTTCGATTAGGTCAAAAAAGAAACAAGTTGGCTTCGATTTAACAAGTTTCAAACTGGCCATATGTTTTCCTTCGAAGTAACCTCCTTCGATCCACAAGTTGGGCAACCTCTTTCGATTTACAAGCTGGGCAGCCTCTTTCGATTTACAAGCTGGGCAGCTTCCTTCGATTTACTAGTTGGGAAACTTCCTTCGATTTACTAGCTGGGCAGCTTCCTTCGATTTACTAGCTGGGCAGCTTCCTTCGATTTACAAGATGGGCAGCCTCTTTCGATTTACAAGCTGGGCAGCTTCCTTCGATTTACTAGCTGGGCAGCTTCCTTCAATTTACTAGTTGGGCAGCTTCCTTCGATTTACTAGCTGGGCAGCTTCCTTCGATTTACAAGCTAGGCAGCTTCCTTCGATTTACAAGCTGGGCAACTTCCTTCATTTTACAAGCTGGGAAGCTTCATTCGATTTACAAGCTGGGCAGCTTCCTTCGATTTACAAGTTGGGCAGCCTCCTTCGATTTACAAACTGGGCAGCCTCTTTCAATTTACAAGTTGGGGCAATTAAACCCTTCGAAGAAACGTACTTCGATTACACCTCTAAAACTCTTCAACACTATGGATCATAATTGGTGGATTCGAAGGACCTATAATGGGTCCATTTGAAGAGCACACATTGTTGGAAACGAACGTTGTTGTCGAAGTGATCAAAATGAAAGGGTGGAGTATTCAAGGTGTTTGTTGACCAAAGTCCTCTATACTGCCAAACCCAAGCCAGTTGTACTTCTATGCAATAGTCCTGAACCAACCTATCACAACACTCCAAAGTACTGCTGAGCCTGCATTGTCTCAGTCCCATACTTAAACAAAAAAGGGTACATAAGAGCTGCATCGAAGAAAACAAGGGGACAGTATATCTAAACAGTTCAAATGTCATTTGATTTTCCCCCAAAACTACATCAAAGTTCTCCTATAAATAAAAGGCTTCACGACATGTTCAGTGAGGATCTTTGGACCAGGGGAACGAATCTCCAAACTTTCTCAAACACAACAAAAAATCTCAAGTCCTTAAACAATTGTGAAAAACAAACCCAGAATCACACACTCACCTATTTCGATTTTGAAGAACTCCCCGCACTTCAGTCTCCTTGGAATCCAGTTGGAAAGAAACATAACACTTGTTTCTTTCTTCCTTCGAATCTAGCATCCAAGGACTAGCTTCTGGCCCCTCCCTTCGAATCCAGGAAAACCCAGAGCCACCACTCAAGGCCCAATTCACATTCAAGGTTAAAGCAAGGTAAGTCACTCTTACCCTTGAACCTTTTGTTTCATGACATAGCATGTGAGTAACTTTCTCTTTCATTTGAAACATGTACATAATACTTTGTTATTTTCGTTTCCACCCTTTTAATATATTTTCAGAACTAACCATTTCGTTTGCTTCTTGTTTACCTAAACATGCTTTAAGTATTAAACTATTTGCAAGACAAATACTAGCATGGCCTTAAGCCATGTTGCCATTTAATATCTCAAACGAAGAAACAGGAGGAAAGAAACATGAAACAAAGCCTTGGGCTTCCATGCTGACCTCCAAGGCAGAAAGGCAGAATCAGAAGGCACACTTGTACTAAGTCCAACCCCAATCGAAGGCCATGACTTACTGATGCCAGCCCAATCGAAGAAGGCAACAAGGCAACAAGGAAACAAGGCAGAACTAGAAGGCGTGCCCTGCTGACTTCCAAGCCCAATCGAAGGCCATGACCTGGCCGGTGCCAATGCCCAATCGAAGGCCATGACTTGCTGGATGCTAGCCCCAATCGAATGAGGCCAACAAAAGCAGAATCGAAGGATTCTTCCCCCCCCCCCCCCCCAACCGAAAGAGCTTATTTTGCTTCTTTTTATTTTATTTTTGTCTTTATATTTTTATGCACTTCAATATGGTTATAATAATGTAGGATTTATTTTCTGCATTTTTATTCACTTTGTACAAATGCTAGTAAACTAGGATGTGTATGGTAAGATAAAACCAATAAGTAGACAACCCAAAAATCAAAGACAAAATGAATGCAAATCAAACACACTTTGCACATATGCACCCTTAGGATAATCTCACTTGTTGCCTCGGAAAAATAGTCATGTCCCTCGAACATGGGCGTTTTAGCAAAGACCCTCGATAAAATATCATAGTCCCTCGATGTTGCCTTCGGTAAACGATCTAGTCCCTAAAACGACATTGCTAAAACGTCCCATAGGTTGCCTTCTATGACTATACAAACGTCTCACGCCCGTCCCTTCACATCCAACGATGGGGTTTCTTACCAAAACAATGGTAAGATAGAAACATTTAAAGGAGGAGGAAAAGAACATCTAAATACTTTTGAGTTGTTAGATTGTTCCTAGTTGCTCGCTTGCTCACAACAAAAACATTTTATACACCAACACTTTCATTTGAAACATTTTCAAAAGACAACGCTTTGTATGCGTTCTTATAGAGACAGGAACCATTACAAAGACACCCTTTTCAAAATCACTTTCAAAAACACACTACACAAACACTTCTTTGAACTATTTTAAAACAACACTTTGTATGTATTCTTATGAGACAACAATCATTACAAAGGCACGTTTTTAAAATACTTTCAAAAACTCATACCACAAGCACACATTCAAACAAAAGCAAGTGATCTAGCAAGCAACTAAGAGCCCGTAGATAACTATGGATGAAAAGGGTGTTAACACCTTCCCTTTTTATAACCTACCCCCTGAACTCAAGAAATCTCAAAAGGTCTTTCCTGTTCTTTTCAACCTTTCCTTATTGGATAAAAGAAAATTCGGTGGCGACTCTTGCTATCCGCAACAATTGTGATCCAACACAAAACACCCAAGTCAGTTCTCATGCCGTATCACAGAACTGGCAACTCTGCTGGGGATAAACTTAAAAGTGGGGTTACCTTAGGGCTAGATCAGATTTACTTGCTTTCCTTGTTTGACTTGCATGCTTTATATTATGGTTCCTTGTTTGGGTTTGTTTTGATCCTCTACCCGGATCTGGGGCACCTTTTAGGTAAGTAGTAATAGATTGCGGAAACTGTACAGTGTAGACCGACACGGTTGAAACAATGGCTATGTTAGTGTGACGCATTTGTTGGTATCGGTATCCCTTATGTTGAATCGAGGAGAATACGAGGCCGCTGAGCGACATCATGAAACACTAACTGGCCTTAGAACCTTAATTGAACAAACTTGGCCAATTAGGACGTAGTGAGATAACCGGTTTTGGTGGAAAGTTGAAAATTGGTTGATACTCGATACTACACTCATTGAGACCGGACTTTTGGGATATCTCGACCGCAAGAAAAGATTGATTATGCTGAGACAATGCATAAAAGAAAGGTCAGTGATATTGAGATCCCTTAGAACCCGGTTACTATTAACTAGGACAGGTTGAGCCAACTAAACTTCAAGAGGGTACTTACCTACGAACCCCATGCAAGCCTAAACCTATGGACTTGTCTGATTTATGTGTATATGATTATATAAACTTGCTTACTTTGCATACTTGTACATAACATCATGACATCATACCATAGTATTTTCAATAACCATTTCAAGGATCCCAAGGGTCTATGATGCAGGGTCACGTTGAACCAGACGTCTGTCAAGGGGCAAGAGGATTCATTTTCCTCTA